GAGGAGACTCAGGGAAGTTCAGTTGTGTTGGAATGTGAGTGGTCTGGGGTATCCTGAAACACCCCGCAGACCCAAGGCCATGAAGGCACAGGCTCTTGGGAGCTCAAAAGGTGTCAGGCTGGTCTGTCCATGTGCTTGGGTATCTGAGACCAGCTAATTGTCACCAGATGTTTCCCTTACAGCCTGGACACACAGCCAGACCGCACTTCCCAAGCTCCCTGGAATGATGTGTTCTGGACAGCAAGTGTGGATAGAAGTGGTGTGTATCACTTCCAGGCCAGGCCTATCAAAGCCTCCCATGAGTGGCTCTCCTCCCCACCCCAACCCACATTATGCGTCTGTGATATTCATGTCCCCACGGCAGCGGGCCCCTGTTAGCCTAGGTCTCTGAATGAAGCAGAGCCTCCATCTCAGCCAGCCAGACTAGATTTGAGCAACAAATTAAATTTCTGTGGGTTGAGCTATTGAGATTTCAGGATGTATCTGTTATGGTTGCCGCCTTACTTGATGCAGATCTGCAAACCCATGGGACACAGGGGAGTTTATTTGGGTCTAGTAGGTTATTATCAAAGGTTTATACCCTGCTTTAGCACTATGGTTCCTCATTTCATCTACTTTTTATTTTTTAGAGTTGGAGTGTCACTCTGTCGCCCAGGCTGGAGTATGGTGGCACAATCACAGCTCAACACAACTTCAACCTCCTGGGCTCAGGCAATCCTTCTACCTCAGTCTCCCAATTAGGGGGCACTACAGGCATGTGCCACCACTCCCAGCTAATTTTTGAATTTTTTTGTAGAAACGAGGTCTTGCTGTGTTGTCCAGGTTGGTCTCAAAACTCCAGGGCTCAAGCAAGCCTCCCACCTTGATTTCCCAAAGTGCTAGGATTACAGGTGTGAGCCACCATGCCCGGCCTTATCTCACTTATTTAACCAAGAACAAATCAGATAAAGGAACTTTAATGACTGAATTTCAACATTAACTAAAAACCATCTTGTTGAAAACTCTGTTTCCTGCTCTCCCAGGACTGGGTGAGCTGATCGCCCCTGAAACTTACCAAAGCCCAGACACCTTCCCAGGGGAGGTTACACAGCACCCTAAGAGGCAGAGTTCTGTGAAAATACTTTTGGAAGCCCAAAGATAGCTTTGATATAGACTATAACATTTTTTTTTCCTGGCATGGTGGCTCACGCCTGTAATCCCAGCACTTTGGGAGGTGGCAGTGAGAGAATTGCCTGAGCCCAGGAGTTCAAGACCAGCCTGGGCAACTTGTTGAGACCTCATCTCTACAATACATTTTTTAAAAAGTAGCCGGGCACAGTGGCATGTGCCTGTGGTTCCAACTACTTGGAAGGCTGAAGCGGAAAGATTGCCTGAACTAGCAGGTCAGGACTGTGGTGGCTGTGAGCATGCCACTGCACTCCAGCCTGGGTGACAGAGTGAGACTCCAATTCAAAATAAATAAATAAAATAGAATATAACATTTTTTGAGTGTACTTTCATAAGCCAATGAAGGCTTGAAAGAGGTTAGGAACATCTGCCCTGGGAATCCTCTCATGTGTTTTCAAGGTTTTAACTGCCTTCAAAATTGATATAAAGAGCCTAGATCTCTCCTTAGCTTTTAATTTTCAAAAGTCTATGAGACATTTTCACAGTTATTTCTTGTAGGCAAGTCAAATTCAACATTGAAAATCTCATTTAATCATCCAGTCACCCAAAATAGAAAATGTTTTGTTTTGTTTTTTGTTTGAGTCAGAGTCTCACTCTGTCGTCCCGGCTGGAGTGCAGTGGCATACTCATGGCTACTGCAGCCTTGACCTCCTGGGCTCAGGCGATTCTTTCACTTCAACCTTCCAAGTAGCTGGAACTACAGGTGTTGCCATCATGCCCCGCTAATTTTTTTGATTTATTGTAGAGACAAAGCCTTACCAAGTTGCCCAGGCTGGTCTTGAACTCCTGGGGTCAGGCAGTCCTCTTTCACCTGCCTCCCAAAGTGCTGGGATTACAGTCGTGAGCCACCGTACCCAGCCAAAAATGTGAATTCTCTTTGATGGCTACCCAACAGGTTTGTCAGTCCTACCTTTTATATTTGCAGCTCCTTAATTCTCCATTCCTCTGGCAACTGCTTAGTTTAAGCCCCTCCCTTCTCCCAACTCCACCACCACCACTACGTACACTACCTCTGGCAGGTCTCCTGGCTTCCATCTTTACTGTAGCCTACTTTGTTCTAATATTCTGGTTGCCAGAGTGATTCCTTCAAAATTAGGTCAGATTATGTTCTCCTCTGCTCAGATTATGCCACTCTCTTCTCCCCCATCATTCTCAGAGGCCAGAATCTGGCCTGTGAGGCCCTGCCCCCCACCCCCGTTCTACCTGCCCACCTGGTCCTGGTGCCATTCCCCCGACTGCACCTGAGCTGATCCTCCATCACAGCAGTGCCTCCTTCCTCAGAGCGTTGGCTCATGCTGTTCCCTCAGTCAGGAATACTCTGTCCTCAGGCTTGCAGCACGAGGAACAAGAGGGATGTGGCTTGCTCCCTCGTCCCCTTCAGGTCTGCAGTCCAATGGCCCCACTCAGGGAGGGCTGCCTTTGTACTGCCTGAAGTTGCCACCAGCCCTCTGTTGGTCCTCTCCTTAGTTACATTTCTCCTCAGCGCTTATTGCCATTGAACTTACTGTGTAATTTTCACATGCTCCTTAGTAGTGGTCTGTCTCCCTGGCCAGACTCTACGCCTCCCAAGCAGGGATGTGCTTGCCAGTTCCGTTGACTGCTGTGTCCCAGCGCTGGGCACGCGACAGGCACCCACTGAGTACAGTCATGTGCTGCACAACTGTCAGAGCGGATGTGATGTGTGGAGCGGTCGAGCACCGTCACTGTAGCAGGCGCTTAATGGCCCCAAGCTTGCAGGCAAGGTCTCACTTGGAAGCTCTGCATCCTAGCCAAAGGCAGGCTGTGAGGGATACAGCCTGCTACACGGAATGGTGTCTCAGATGCTTACACATCTGGGTGCACATAGTACAGATAAAGCCTTAGATACAACAAGATAACTGTAGAACAGCTCACCTTTTAGGCAGCAACATAATTTCGTTATGGCTCCCTCACAGACCTTGAATCCCTTCCAACTTCCCTTGTGCTTGATTATAAAATAAACGTGTTAAGCTAGTTCAGGGCCACTTCTCCATCAGAGGAAAGTGTCTCACCTGGCCCAGCTTTTCTTATGTCTTTGTGTCTTTCTTAATCTCTAGCTGCTCTCGCTTGGGACCCTTAAGGCAGCTGTGTGGGCTGCGGCATACAACTTTGGGTCAGCCCCAGGCCACAGATACCACAGTGGTCACCCAGGACTGTGCTGGGGCGAACAGTGGGTGCTGCCCGGTGAGGCGGTGGCCATTGAAGTGCAGCACGCTCCTCACCAGCTTGGGCGATGCTGGTGTGTACAAACTTGCTGTGCTGCCTGCCTTACAAAGGCACAGCATGCACAGCCATGCACAGGTCATGAAAAACGGCTGATTAGCCGGGCTCGGTGG